ATTTAATAAGCTATCTATACTAATCTTTATTACTAGATACTTTACTTAGTACTTTATAAAGAATATACTATAGTTTTCTACTCTTACTACGCTAAGTATACTATACTAGGTAATAAGACATTCTTCTACTATATTAATCTTAATCTATTATTTACCTATACTTAAGGTTAAAGTATAAATATAATCTAAGAATTAGTCTTAATTAATAATAAGAACCTCTAGAACTATATAGAGGTTTTAGAGAGCTTTTATTAATATATAGAGCTATACTTATAATAGCGTAAGACTACTAAGAAGAATTCTACTAGCCTTATTAAAGAATAGTATAATAATATTAATTAGACGTAAAAAGTATAAGTAATAGCGCTAGGTATAAAGTAGAAGAAGTCTATTTATAGAGAAGAAGATATTTATATTACCTACTCTATAACACTCTATAGCTCTATAGAACTAGTAACTAAAATCTATTAAATAATTCTTCTATAGTATATTATAGTACGCTAGAGCGTTATAAAGATTCTAGCTATAGAAATATATAATAAAATCTTAAAGGCTTATTATAATCTTATAGCTTCTTCTATAACACTATCTAGATATTATAATAAGTATAGTAGTATTAAGTAGATATTTCTAGTAGATATATATATTAACTTCTTCTTCTAGATCTAGAAAGCTATTCTTATATAAGTTTTCTAGAATAACTCTCTTATACGCAAAAAAATCTATAAACTTTTTAATAAGAATAAAAATAGTATTTTAGAGTATATTTAAAAAGAGCGTAAGTATATTATTAAAGAAATTAAGATACTATAGCTAGTAGTTAAGAAGCTTAAGAAAGCTACCTTTACTAAGAGCGCTAATAGTAAATATCTAAATATTTTCTTCTTTACTAATAAGAGTATACCTCTCTCTTATAAGAGATAGTAGTATATTTAGAATTATAATTATAGTATAGAAGATACTATTAGACGTTTTATTAATAAGATTAATATAGAACTAGATATTTATTACTACTTCTATAACGCTACTAACTTAGATACTATATCTACTTCTTTCTTTCTATTTAAGACTTTTTAGGCTTACGCTAGTAGTCTAGCGTCTAGTCTATTATTACTCTCTAGCTTCTTACGCTCTCTAATAATATTACTACTACTAGTTCTACTACTTTCTTCTTAGTTTAAGATACTAATACTAGCTCTATTAGCTTCTTTTACTAGCCTATCTAAGCTACGTTATAGTAGATAAAATATAAAGTAGACTAAACGTACTAGTAATATTACTAGTACTTAGATTTTAGGTAAGCTTCTTATTTTACTTAAAATCTAACTACTACCTATACTATAGTAGTGTATTACTAATATCTCTACTTAATTATTTATTTTACTTTTTACTTTTTTTTCTATATTTTTTCTTTATCTTTTCTTTATACTATAAGTAAGTAATACATTCTAAATAGTAAAATAAAACTATACTACTAGAAAGAGAAAGTTTATACTAGTATATAAGGTATTCTTATATAAATTAGATCTTTAATAATCTAAGAATTACTTAAAGAGAGAACGTTTTTTAATAAAAGCTTTTTAGAATTATCTTATTATTTATAATTTTATCTTTTACTTATACTTTTTAGTATTAAACTCTTATATAATACTTTAGATAATAGAATCTCTCTATAATAGAACTTTTTTCTACTAAACTAATGTCTATATACTTTCTTACCTATGCTAATTACTTTATATTCTTATAGTAATATATCTTTATACTTTCTAATACTAGTATAGTATAGTAGTTAGTAATTACTTATTATATAAACTTATTATTATAATAAAAATATATAATAAAATAACTATATTTATTAGAGAGATATTAAAAGGTATCTAGAAGAAGCTAAGTAATCTTACTTTTAATCTTAAAGAAACTAATCTACGTAAAATAAGTAGTATTATTAATAAGAAAAAGTATGTAGTATTTACTTTTAAGACTAGAAATAGAATATAGTCTTTAGATATTAATAGTAACTAGTTTACTAATATATTTATAATACTAGTTTATAAAGTCTTTAGAAATTCTATAGAGAGCGCGCGTAGTAGCGTAAACTAGATACTAATTTTTAAGCTTAGCTTAAATTTACTTATTAGTAATAGCTATACTATTACTAATTTTAGTAAGATAGCGTATATATAGAAGAGAAAGATACTCTAAGTAATAATACTCTAACTATACTAGATTATTAAAGTTAATAGTAGTAGCTATAATAAGATTAGAGAAATAAGTTATACTTAGAATATAGATATTAGCGTTAGCGTATAGTAGAGCCTAAGTAATTTTCTTATTATTATATTTATAGTATAATAGTATACTATTCTTTTAATTAGTAAGTATATAGTATTTAGAATTAGTATTAATAAAAGAAGATATAGAGAGTAAGTTATAGTAGATATTAGGCGTATAATAGATATTACTTAGCTAAAGAATAAGATAGAAGCTATTATAATTAGTAATAATAAACTTAATATTACTTTTTCTAGTAATCTTAAGTTATAAGCCTTACTTATAGACTTTAATATACTTAGTATAGTACTTAAAATAAGAAAATAAAGAGAAATTATTTATAATATAGTAGAAAGCACTACTATTAAGAATCTAGAAATTAGATATAGAAATAGTAAGAGAAGTAGTAGCTATAAACGTATATATATTAGAACTATAAACTATATCTAAACCTAATATATATCTATTAACCTTATAGTTAGCCTCTCTTATATAAGTAAGATATCTATAGTTCTAAAAGAAATTAGCGCTAGTTATAAGTATAAAGTAAGTATATATATAGTTAAGATTTAGGTAGTTAATATTAAGATAATTAAAATTAAAGGTATTCTAGAGTAAGAAAAGGTTATATATAGAAGTAATTATATAGTTAAGATAGTTAGAGAAGAATATATTATTATTATTATTAATAAAGATAAGGTCTACGTTAGAAGTAGAGGTAGATAGAGTATTTTTATAAGTCTTCTTATAATAAGTAGCCTTAACGTAATCTAGCTTCTTATAAAAGGTATATATAAGTATATTAAATTTACTTATATAATAGTAAGTATTAATAGAGTAACTAATGTTACTATAGTATAAGTACGTAAATAAGTTAGACTTATTAAAGCTATTATTAATAGAGTAGATATTATACTAGTTAGTAGTAAAATCTTTATAAAAGTGCTTATTCTTTAGAATAGTTTACTTATTCTTATTATTATTATAGTAGTTAAAAAGAAAAGTCTTATAAGTTCTAAAAATATTAGTAGTAATAAAAGTACTATAGTAGTTAAGCTTTTAATAGTTTAGAAAAAGATTATACTAGTAAGAAAAAACTTTATTAATCTTATTAATAAGCTAGTTATATAATATAGTTTTACTAGCGTTATTAAGATTATAGTATAGGCCTTTATACTAGGTAAGAAGAGGCTTAATAGCTATAGAGTTAGTTATAGTAATATTATTAAGCTTAGTTAGAGTATAGTCTACTAAGATATTCTTAAAAGCTTTATTATTAAGCTAAATAGTACTATATATAAAGTAAAAGTTAAAAGTATTTTTTTTATTAAGTTTATACTAAATCTATAGCTTAATAAAGATATAAAGAAAAGTAATAGTAAAGCGTATAGCTTTATTATACTTCTTCTACTTCTAAAGAGCGTAGTTATAAATAGCTAGCTTATTTATAGTATTAGTTAAGATAGAAACTAGTATAGTAGCGCGTAAGTTAATATTAAACCTAGAGTATATAACTTAGAAAGTAATATAAAAAAGAAGATTAAGCTTCTTAGAGTTATTAATAGTACTATTATAGTATACTATATATTTATAGATAAAGTAAATATTAATTAAAGTCTTAGTTTACTTATAATAATTATTAAAGCTAGTAAGCTTCTTAAGATTCTTATCTAAAATAGTAGTAACGCTATTAATAGTAGATATTATAGTAGATAAGTAAGTATAGAATATAAAGAAGAGTAGATATAAATTTATAGTAGTTAGTGCGCTAAAGAGTATAATAACTTAGTTACGTAATAGTAACGCTAGAGAAATTCTTATTACGCAACTATAATATAAAGTAGAGTAGTAGCTAAATTACGCGTAGTAGCGTAGAGGCTTATAACTTATAAAATAAGAAAAGATATAATTATTCTATAAAAGAGAGAGAAAGCTTTATATAAATAATACTAGAGTAACACTAGTGCTAGCGTAGGTAAATTACGTAATAGAATTCTAATTAACACTCTAGGTTAACTATAAAAGCTAGAAGTAAGATTTAGAACAATACAATCTTATCTTCTTTCTCTACACAACAACGCGACACACAAAAAATCTAAAAAATCTAATATATAGAGTAAGCTACTGCGAGTAATTCTATCTTTTTATAATTCTCTTAAAAGATGTTGTTGTAGAGTTATTAGGGTTGCCTACCTTCTCGCTATTTCTGGCTTTCACGGTCGACGTAGAGACGGCATCTCGGCAGATACATACCTCTTGACTATCTAGCGCTACCTTCCCTAGGGCTCGGTGTCCACGTTTGTTGCCTCTACCATAGCTTAGTTGAAAAAAAAAAACGATTCCTCTCTAATACTACGATTGCGCTTTTCTCCATGGAATCCAACCCCGCCTCGAACCATCCTGCGCATGCCAACCGGTCTTTGGGGCGTCTACCCACTCTGCTGCATCTCTGCCCCCAACAACCTCAATACCCCAACGCACCTCTCCGTTTCTGTCTTTGAACCACCCTAGCATGGTTTTGACGTCATTCGCGTTCTTTAGTGCTACACCTCGTTCTTCTACCAATCGCGAAAGATGATCGCTCCCTGCGACAAGTACAAGTACGTCGGCGATGAGTTGCACGTCTCGAAGCAAGGGACTCGTGCATCTTCTCTGTAGAGAACTGACTACGGCTGTAGTGCCTATAAGCCAGATGATTATTGCCACCGACAGATACGTAGCGATTGCATTCATATGAAGAACCTGGGTTCGGTGGGATACCAGTGCCTCAACTGTTCGATTGGTGTGGAGACTTGCGTACTTGCGTCGCGGAAGAACCCTGCCATCCAATGTCACTGGCTCTCCTAACGCATGTGTACTGTTGTCGCCGATCTTTTGGTACGCCCAACCGCCTTGCTCTAAAGATAGACCATTGCTGATGAAGTGCTGGAAGAAAGTTTGGAAGGTATGGTTTGCGTGTGTGACAAGTGTTGCGTAGTCGAGCAAAGCCTGCGGATCCTTGTTGGCGAGGCTATACATGCTGTATGTCATCAGGTCCATGTTCATGCCGGTTTCAGCGTCGCGCATGATGAAGGCATTGTCGCGAAGAGATTCCATGAATAATGTCCCTTTTGGCCCGAGATTCGGGTCAGCGGCCTTGAACATGGATCCCATGAATAAGACTCCATAACTCGTGGTGACGTTCAACGGTCCTCGGTATTTTTTGTCGTATTGCTGCGTTGCGTTGCCATGGGTCGGTGCGTGTCGGACAAACACTTCGGACCATGCTGATTTTGCAGGGCCGACAGGGCTGATGATCTCATAGGATTGGACCATGCCCGTTTCCACGTCCACGACCACTTTGGCATCTGACGTCTCCACTATCGGCATGCAACGAGCGGCTTGTAAATCGGGTACATCTTTGAAAAGCAGCATTGGTCCTTGGTTCTCGTCTCTGCCTGGAACTGTTACAGGCTTACCAACGATCCATTTCGTAACGAATGGAATCGGCCACTGACTGTCTGCGTTTGGGAACGCTTCGACATTTACTGGGGACCAGTATCCTATCACTGCTGAATTCAGATCGTCCTTGGTTCCGTTTGAGCAACACGACAGCATAGCGCTGGTGCCAAATGCTGAAGTGTTTGACGGGCTGCCGCCAAACATCGTATGATTGAAGGAGTAGTAATTTTCCAGGCCCTCCAGATCCGTCGGTGTGACCTGGGAATCAATTTCATCGGGATGAATGAGCCATGTCGATGTGTTCGCTACTTCGGGTACTTGCTCGCATTCTAGCCGAGCTCGTAGAGCAGATGTTGTGATTGTTACGTTATTCGGAAACGTTATCGTCTCTTTGGCATCCACTTGGGAAATACTGGTAAGATTGAAGGGTATGAAACTCCAATCATCTTGAGTCCAAGAAGGCTTAGTGCCATTGAGTGATAGCTGAATGGCAGCGCCGGGAAGCCAATTTTTAGGCGGATTCAGCAGAAGATCGTTGAGTACTTCAAATGGAGGCAGACCCGGAATAGCTGCACCCATTCGTTGTTCGTAGGTCTTCACCGTAGTTATAATGGGTATCTCTCGAGGTTCCAGCGTCCTCTCAAGAATCGCTCGATGAGATACGTTCGCAGCTTGTCGTTCGAAGAGCGCGGACATCGAAACGGTGACTGGCAAATTGAAGTCAGCAAGCTAGAAGACCATCGATCATGATAATCTTACGAATTTGGCAGAGAACGCTTCCAGTAGCGACCAGGAACAGCATCCAATGCTTGTTGCGGGCGGCCTTGATAGCCGCACCAGCCCAGGTTTTGGAACGGTACGTAAGACCCGCTCCATTGGTGATGGGTGTTGGCCGTTGCGACATCGCAAAATAGGGTTGGAGGATTCTGAATGTTGAATCCAATTGATCCCACCACAAGCCGATCACAATACTGACAACTGTGGGTCCGATAGAGATAGGAGCAAAGGTGGAGAAGCTCAAGCCCAACTTAGAAACATCGGCTTCGTAAACGAATGCAAGCTGAGAAAGTCGAGATCTCGCAGAGAAAGCGTTCAGTACTAACACCGCAACCAGGATCAGGATAAGGAAGCTTGAAAGAGCAAACAGCATACGAAGTCGGATGACCAACGGCTGCCAAAAGCTTGAAGATTTAGTGGTTGTGGGAGCTATTGAAGGCATTTATCAGCTCACAGCTTCGATTACATGGCATTGCTGACTTACATGTGCTTGCGAGGCAATCACTGCTTGCAGTATGTATAGCACCATCCCGCATGTAAAATGTGTCATTCCTTATTCTTTGGCGGAAATCGTGATGCGCTATACGATGACCTTCTCGAAATGTTGATGATTGTGTCGGATGCGATTGAACTAACATAGCATGTCCAAGGGTACTGCCGGGGTCCATGCTGAGGTCGAGCGGCCGAAATGATAGTCGTGAGACCCAAAATACCATGATGAGTAGCAAGAAGGAGACCAAGAAGAGGGTAGCCAAAGCGATTCCGATCTCTTGGAGTACCATGATTCTATTTTCGACCACTGTTGCCTTCCCTTTTGTAACTTCGACGCGTGTTACGTCGGGGTCGTTCAAGGCCTCGCGAAGACACTCCGTGAAGAATCTTCCTTTGACTCTTTCTGCGCGGGAAATAAACTCCCTGTCGTTCAACATTTCGGTAACGTTGAATGCATAGAGAGCGCCAAGCAGCGGACCAAGCCCAAAGAACTCTGGAGCGTTGGTCGTCATGTTCGGATCGGAGTAAGGGCCAAGCTGGCCGCCCAGAGCACGGTCCGCATCAGTCGCTATGCTTTCGGCGTTAAAATAGTATTTCCAAGTGTCTTGTAGTGCCATCTCTTCAAACTTAGGGATGTCTATCATATCTTTCGTGATTGACACGGGCTGAATATGGTCCGACTCCATGGACGTAATGTTCGGCTCTTTGCCTTGGCCTATTGAAGTAGAAGTGTTGTGTGTTTCCATAGAATACTGAGATTTGCAAAGCAATGCCTTCATGCGAAAGTCAGGCGAGCGTTCATAGGTCCTGTTGAGCTCAAGTCCTGTCCCTGCCGCTTCACTCAGCTCCAACCTGACGGGCTTGGTCCACGGGGTGTTGAGAATGATGATATCCCGGTCTGCACATTCTGGAGAGGCATAGTGGCGCGCATACGGACTGGTCGAGGAGACGTTACTGGGAAACGGCATTCTACCGAGGGGCAGCAGCTCATCCTCAATGTAGAAAGTAGAAGTGTTTGACCATGTCAGGCCTCCACGCATTGCCAGATTAACCGCAGGGTGGACGGTTATTTCGTGTCTGCAACCGTCGTCCGATGCTAAAGCAAAGACTACCATGGGTTCTACGCCCTTGTATGGCCCGTGGCCCATGATATCGTACTCTTTGTATTCCATCGGCACAAGATCAGCGCTTTCTAGCGTCATGTCCCGACAACCTAGGTTCGCATGTATTGTCGTTGTCTCTGCCGTCCAGGAGTTGAAGCTTGATATCAGATCGGGGCCGAGTTGTGCTGTATCTGTAGACGGCCAATTCGGAAAGGTGATAGAAGTATCTTTTATCCATGCTGAAGTAGAGAGATTCCTCATCAGCGCAGACGTAGTTCTGAAATAGGTTTCTCTACTGGCGACAATGGGCAGTTGGAGACCAATCCTAGGAACGCTTCTGCTGATGTCAAGCGCTTTGGTGATTACAATCTCTTCGGATGTAAGAAGGGCGGATGACAAAGGAGATATAGCGAGAAGGGCCACCACATTGATTACAGCCGTGCAGATGAGACACCAACTGGTTTTACCGACCGACTTGCGCTTGAGGACGATATCCAGTAAGATAGCCCACCAGGCCCTGGGCGTTTGGAGTAATGTACCGTAGGCACTGGCGCCTTCTGAAGGTGCTCGAGCTAATCGAGCGAACGGCTCCGTTCTCTTGGCATCTTCAAATAGGATAACCGTGGATTGTGTGTACAGCACTGCTAGCAGAGTTGGTGTGAAGCGCCATCCAAACAGTACTGCAGAAGATCCGTCATCGGCACCGAGTCCGTAGTGGTGTTGCGAGTACCAAATAAGTAGCGATATTGTTATGCCCAGGATGGCGGTGGCACTTATCGGGATCAATAGAGAATACCATCTAAAGGTAAATGGCAGCCAGCTCCCTTTCCGATCCGTTGGAGCTTGTGTTGGCAAGTTTGTTAGCCGCCTAGATCTTCAGAGGTAATTGATTACTAACCTGTGCCCAAAGGCATGGTATCTGTTGTAGACTGAGCAGACGAGTCCGCTGGGACTGAAGGCGCATGACCTCCTAATGTTCGATCCATAACGACAGATGCTCCAAGTGCGCTCAAACGGGATTGGCCTGAAAGGAAACTTACAGCGACTCGGTGGCTGTATCCAAGGTTATCGCACAGAGAAGCGCATACATAGAGGCTACTTAAGCCATCTTCGTCTGCTGTTCAAGCTGTACCTGCATCGATCGTCCGCGCAGATAGATTGCGGCACAGCACCGCTGATTCCACTTTCATACTTAATCCGGTACCGACATAGCGGATGCGCAGAGTTCTTGAGGCTATCGTGCAATAACATAGTTGGCTAAGCGCCCGGGTGGACATTGGGATTGTTGCAGCGGTTCGCGCCAATACTTCAGCGTTAAGCACGCGCCGCGGTGGAGGGATCTTCAGTAAAACCTTCGAATGGGCGGCAGGATCTGGGATCCCCGTTGCGCATGACAGAGAACCGGTCGAAACGCCAGGTAAAAGAATGCAGGTAGACGCGCGATTGTCATATGAAGTGAAAGCCTGCCCCGAACCTTCCGTCGCGTCTTCCGTTCCCCTCACGGGTGGGAGCTCCCGTTCTTCACGTGGGGGCTAACTAACTGTATCGGGCGTAGCGTCGCGATTGTGATAGGGACAAAATCGATCCAATCATACGTGATCAATCTGAAGGCGCTGTAACATGAAATAATTACCCCGTTTATCTTGTCTACATATGCGGAAAAAAAATTAAGTTCTGGTGTTGAAGCCAGACACATTGTAGCTTGAGGTTTGGCCACCTGGACAAGATCCAATGCCTACTACCTAGGTAAGCTAGACTCTCGCTAAAGCCGAGAGGGAGAAGGACGCGGTGTAGACAAGCATGTTGTATATCTGATATAATGAAGTCTCAATAGATGGGTTGAGCAGTGTCTGCTTAGGCAGGCATGCCTAAGTACCTTCCAAAGTTCTCTCTTCCAGGGATGTGAGCAAGAGTTATAGTCCAAGAACATTCGTAGAGGCGCATCTTCAAGATGGAAAAGACCGATGTCGTTTCATTCAGTCCAATTTCTAGCCGGCTGTCGAAGGTGTTTTTATATCTCAAGAGTCACTGTTCAAGGTGCACCGCGTGCGACTACCTGTCGACACAAATACCTCGGTACCCCTGCCTTGCCTACAGCCTTTCCCCTACCCCGTTGTCTACGCCAGGCCGCTGCCGCCCGTCACTTACATGCGTAGCGAGATTCCAGCAACTTACGACTCCGAAGAACATCGGTCCGCAACGCGTCGTCTATCTTCGCCTACCCCTCTCGAACGCTACTCCCAATGCAGCGCCATCAAGCGAGTCTGCACGCGAATGATTGGTGGGTGCCTTTCTACAGTCTACCCATTATACCTAGGTACGTTATCAGAAACAGGGGTGAGCGAGAAGGAGCATTCGGGCATGTGGTGGGCTCAGGCGCCCTCGCAAGGGTAGCCGATTCATAGCATGTGCAGAACCTTAGGTACGTAGGTACTTGGATACGTGGCTAACGTGTCGACAAAGACAAATCAACGTAGAGGGCGGAACATCAGCCACGTCCGCGTCGAAATTTGTGGGTTTGATGTGCGAATGGTATATTCCTCGTGTATCCATGTGTCTTCAAGATTGGGCGACTTACAGCGCCAGGATGTTGCTTCGGATCGCAACGTTCGCTTACCCTGGTTGCTGCACATTCGCATCATTTGCCAAAGTGTACGATGAAGTCAAGACGGTATTTGCATCCGCTTTCTTTCAAATTTCTATCACTCGTTTTGGCCACTAGCTTCTTTGACGACTGAAAATACATGTACTCAACTACTTGGACGACAGTGTCCTGAAGATTGCAAACGGGAGAGGGGAATATCAGATAATGTAAGCTTACGCCATGCTCGACTCTATGCCGTGGAACTCAGTTTTGCGCGCCCTTTCGCATCCGATCTAAGCGGTACAGCAACATCGTTACACCGCCCGCTACACTTAGCCGCACGCAATTAACCGATGGTCATGCGTGAACAGCGAGCGTTTTTCTCACTATACTCAATGTTTCATAGTACAGAACCCGAACGCCTTACGCCTTGAATTCCAATACTTGAGACCCAAAAACACGATACCCTTCCGCTCGGAACTCCATTCTTATAGCACAATGTGTTGCTCGGCACTCGATTCGCTTGTAGCAAGGCGCTACGAGAGCTCGCTCGTAGAATCTAGCTGCCTCGCTAGTACGATTCAGATAGCTGCGAGGTCGTTGAGTGCACAGCTCAGCTCTCGTCTCGCACCGAGCTCATCAATGCCGTCATGCGGCCGGTAATGGTGTGCGACGATCCGCACCGTGGCCCGGTAAGTCTTGTACCTATTACGGTCAGCATTGCGGCCTTCTAATTACCCGCACTTGGTACTTACATCAGCATCCTGACCCTCGCGCCCCCAGTCTTCACAGGGTAATCTCCCAAGCCGGCGAAGAACGCTTCATTGCCATCCGCGATACCGCCGCTCATGAGAGGGTCGCCCCAGATGACGTTCGAAAATCCGACAAGACCTATGACCTGCTTGGTACGTTCGTCGATGAGCACGTTCTCCGGGTCGCAGAGATTGAGCGCTACAAGGCGCGGTTCGGTAACTTCTTCCAGGCAGTGCGCGTGTTTGCCAACCCAGAAACGTATACTTTCGGAGTGTGCGTTAACAAGCATATCCTCAGCATCGCGTAGTGCGGCTTCGAGGAGAGCAAAGAAAGCCTCGCGCCAGGAGTTGCTGCCCTTTTTGACGAAGACACGGTGTGTCATACCAAATTGGGTGGCAGATAGTGCAGTCAGAGCGCGGACATGTGTGCCTAGTGTGTGATCGATGGAGTTTCTCTCGCTGGTCGAGATGTATGGCGCGATTTCCGAGAGCTTGCGACCAGGCATGTGGCTCATCATAAGAAATGGTGCACCAAGCGGTCCACCATGGCTATCATACTTGATGATTTGAGGCACAGGTACTTGTGTATACTCGTGCAGTGTCTCGAGTGCTTTGCGTTCTGTCTCCAGGAAGTGCTTCTCATGCCGGAGGAGTCGGATGTTATAAGCTGGTGGGCATTTGAGTATCAAACAACTGCCATCTTGAAGTCTTGCGAGATAAACCTGGTGTATGCACCCTTGCTGGACTTCAATTTGCTGAACATTGATTCTTGAGGACCGAAAGACTGCTCTGATGACTCTTTGTATGCTGGGAAAGTCGACTGTTGTGATAGCAGTCCGCGAAGATGCTGATGAAGACGAAGATGAAGACGAAGTGGTCGAAGAGGGCCGAACGGGCTTTAGAGCGTACGTTCCACGGCTCATACTGGTGAGGGGAAAGATTGCAACATCCAGTGGGGGAAGATGCATTATGAAGGGCCGAGCAGCGACGTCCTAGATTCCGGCGGGGAGCTTAGCGTGATTCGATAGTGGAGGCCTGGAGCTGACTGAATGCTGCATGTCGAGGACATCGCTATGCATTAAGAATGTTTTGACGATTGCGCAAACAAAGTCAATGCCAGCTCTTTTCTCATAGAATCATGGATGCTCGATCTGAACGCAAAAATGTCCCGACGAATGTCGGAAACAAAAGCATAGTAACGCCAGCCCGAGCAAGACCGACTTTGATAGATCTCAATTGATGAAGCCATCTCCTTGGTTCGGCCATACCGAATCGCATGACAGTCGACACTTAGTAGCACATCTGAAAGTCCCAACCAGTCCCCGAGCCATATCGACTATCCTCTCGCCGATGCACTGCTCAGCCGAAAAGCAAAAGTCTATCATGCGCGTACGGAACTGGTAAGTAAGCGGCGTATTCTAAGCGAATTGTTTAGCGAAGGCGGATGTAGAGGCGGAGAAGGACGCGTGAGGCGTTCAGATTGGCGCTCTCAGCGTTCGTCAAGGATACCCACAAGTGGCTAGGCACCCGATGAGGATATCGCGTATCGCGAATTATGATTGGTTCTGCCGACAGACGGCTGAAGGATACCATTGACCGACATGTTTCGATAGCATATCCTTAGGAATCTGAGAGACGATTGGATGTAGGTTTGACAGTGCAAAAAATAACGCTGTGATTAACGCAGTGTTATGTCTGTACGGGCCCTCAACTCGCCCGGCCCATTGTTTTACGTAGCTAGTCAACTACCTCCACACATCCCATGCCTGTGGGCTATTGCTGTGGCGGCTATGTAAGCCCGCACGCAGTATGCACCCGGCAGTTCGGAGACGAGTAGTAGCAACACGCCGGATGTCAGGTCGATGAGTAGGTGGCTACTGTGCTCACTCTGATGATCCGCTAGACGTTTGCCTCATCCCAAGAGC